GTGTGTGTGTGTGTGTGTGTGTGTGTGTGTGAGCTAAATGTAACCACGTGTGTGTGTGTTGGCTAAACGTAACCACGTGTGTGTGTTGGCTAAACGTAACCACGTGTGTGTGTTGGCTAAACGTAACCACGTGTCTGTGTTGGCTAAACGTAGCCACGTGTGTGTGTTGGCTAAATGTAACCACGTGTGTGTGTTGGCTAAACGTAGCCACGTGTGTGTGTGTTGGCTAAACGTAGCCACGTGTGTGTGTGTGTGTGTGTGTGTGTGTGTGAGCTAAATGTAACCACGTGTGTGTGTGTTGGCTAAACGTAACCACGTGTGTGTGTTGGCTAAACGTAACCACGTGTGTGTGTTGGCTAAACGTAACCACGTGTCTGTGTTGGCTAAACGTAGCCACGTGTGTGTGTTGGCTAAATGTAACCACGTGTGTGTGTTGGCTAAACGTAGCCACGTGTGTGTGTGTTGGCTAAACGTAGCCACGTGTGTGTGTGTGTGTGTGTTGGCTGTGTGTGACGTGGATGTGACGTTCTGTGTGTGTTTCCTTTCACAGCGACTGTACCCACAGTGAAGGTGTCACTTTCTTTAAACAAACCAGCTGGACTCTGTTTAGGCTTAGTGTTGGGGCCACCTCTGTTCTTGTTCTCAAACACTGCCTGCGCTGCTCTCTGTTGGAGAAACACAGTGTTTAACTGTTGGAATGAAGCCGTGTCGTCCCTTTGAGCTGTCATTACACACTTGTTTAAACTTTTTTTTTTGTGTGTATGTAGGACATTTATCATTAGACTGGAAGGCATATGCATGACTGCATTCCATACTAATCACTTCATTTAAGTCATTATTTAAGTTTCGCAGACTCTCCATCTCGGCTTCACTCATCCAGAGTATAATTGCCGTCGGAGAAAACAAAACACTTGACTTCATGTCCTCTCCGGGGGAAAAAATGTAACTCCTCATTTGTGTGCAGCCTCTCTAGTTTCCAAACCTCCAACAGGAAGAAGCGTGGTGTTGTCTGAGTAAACAAACCCGCTCTGTCTGTCTCCCATTTTCTTTTTCTCACTTCCTCTGTCTCTTTCTCCCTCTCACCTCTTACCGAGACTTTTTTTTCCATCTTTCAGTTCTTCGCTCTCTCCGTCTCCATCTCTCCCCCCTCCACAAGTTGTGCTGCTTCCAGATGCATTAAAGTAAATAGGTAATTAATCTGTGCCTCGGGGGCTAACAGCAGCACATACCAGCCCTGCGGCTCGCCCACAGGCACAGAGGCAAGACAGAAGCAAACTGTGGGTAGTTACTCATCAAAAACCCACCTGCATATCCCTCCGCCTCCTCCGTCACAATAACGCAGGGTAACATCTCGTTCTGCTCTTTCTTTGACTCCTAACTTGGTTGGGACCCACTTGTTTTTTTGTTGTGGTGATAAATGGATGCTTTTGATTGTCTAAAGAACTTCCCTCTGTGTCTGCTCTGTGAGAACGACCCAAGGCAAAAAGCAGAGGAGCACTTGTAGCGGTGGCAGCTCGCCCACTCACCTGCAGCGATGGAGGCCAGGCGCACGTAGTCGGAGCCCCTCTCCTCTGGTTCGTATGGGTAGCTCTCCACCAGGCTGAGTCCTGCCAACACAGAGCACAGAGGTCAGCTCTGTTGTCATGACAACCTAAAATAATGCTGTTCTTTTCTTCTTTTTTTTTTTAACTTCAGAATTTGTCTTTTCAGTGTCCTGAAACACTGAGAAAAAATCACTATATCGCATAAAGTTGAATCCAAAGTTACAGGAAGAAGACAAAATAATTCAGACACTTCATGTGTGTTCAGATGAACCTGTGAGAGACAATGATCTGCTGTAGACACACTGACGGGCAGCAGAGACCAGGAGACCACTGAAACATCAAAACTCTGGAGCATCAGACAGCAACATCTGTGTAGACGTGGCCCCTAAAGCAAATACACATCCTGTAAAATTCACCTCTCCAAGTCAAACCCAAAGTAACCTGAGAGCTGTTCTTGTTCCATATTTAGTACATGTACATGCATTTGGTCTCATTTGAAAGGTTGGGCGGAATTTATCTGCGATGAAACGACGCCATAGGCTCTCTGTCAATGTAGCTTTTCAGTATTTTGTGTGATTTATCCTTCAGGGATTCAGCCTGGCTTCATATGAGCAGAGGAAATCTCAGCTTGTCGCTAGGCTAATTTATACAATGTAAAATGCCATAGGCTTGTGCTAATAATGTTAGCATGTTGTATTTGTTTGGAAAACATGTTTAGTGTAAGACAGTTGTTTTGTCAGTGAACCTTGTGAGTTGTAATGGAGCTGAATTTTGTAACGTTACCTTTGTTAAATGTTGCTGTTGTCCCTGGCTTCATATGAGTAGAGGAAAAGATCGCTAGCTGCTAGGCTAATTTATACAATGTAAAATGCCATAGGCTTGTGCTAATTACATTAGCATGTTGTATTTGTGGGGAAAATGTGTCCAGATAAAGACAAGTGTTTGTCTGTGAATGCTGCGAGTTATAGTGAAGCTGATTTGTGTTTGAAAATGTCTCTATTAAGCCATGTTTAATGTGTGTTTAATGTGTGTTTAATATGTGTTTAATGTGTGTTTAATGTGTGTTTTGAGTCAACTAAACTTTACAGCACTTCACAGAAACTCCACCGCCACCTAGCGTCTTGGAAGTGTAACTGCAGAGTGACACAGACACACCACCACACAGGTATAAATGCTCACAACAGCGAAGGCGTAGGAGATATACAAGTTCAAAAACACTGAAATAAAAGTTCTTTTTATCTTCACGTATTTTCTTGATAAAAGATGAAAGCTGCAGATGACTGAACTGGGAGAACTGGGAGGTATCAGCCAGAAAACACAATGGGGCCATATCATGAAGTCTCACATTGTCCAAATGTGCTGCAGTTAACATCTAAAAGTCCTCATGTATTTGTAGTTTATAGTTTCATGTATTTTCCTCAGGCCATTTTCCAAAGCAGGCCCCTCATCCACACCCATCGGGGGGAATTTCATACTTCCTGCTATCATAATCCAATTAATCATATTTCCACATGTATTTTGTTTTTTTTTTTTGGCTGAAAAAATGCCTTCAAATGAATGATAAGAGAAAAGTAAAAGGGTTTGTTTTTTTTGTTTTTTATCCGCTGTTAGGGTCCAAAGGACAGAGCGATGCTGTATGCTGTAAAGCCCTGTGAGGCAAATTGTGATTTGTGATATTGGGCTTTATAAATAAAACTGATTGATTGATTGAAACACTGAAGAAATTACTGCAAGAAATTCAAAATCCAGTTCATGTGATTCCATGACTGTTCATGGAGCTCAGTGTACAGAAATAATTTTAAAAATGGCAATGTTCCTTTTTCACTCAACAAAATGTTGTCTTGACAAGATAGCATATCATGGTTGGTACCTATGGATGCCTCAGGTCCTCCAGTTTAATATGATACCTGTGTCTTCACTGTAGCTTTAGAGCTGAGCTGATGCAGCAGGTTTTATACGCTAACATTACTCTGTCTCACACCTCACCTTCAGCTCCGCCTGTCACACCTGCTGCTTCTTTACGTTTCTGCTGGATCATGTCCATCGTCTCTCTGCTCCGCTCATCATCCTGTTCTCTCTGTGCTCTGATCAGCAAACCAGTAAACAAGCTATGATGGATGACATTAGATATTTTGCTGATATCCGATATGCTGATGTGTAACAACTTATTTGGGTGTTAACCGATACAGATATGGATTTATCCCTTTTTCCCACCTAATCTTAAAGATCATTGAGTCATACATGCTCTCATGGTGACGGCCCACCAGCAGATGGAGACATGAAATACTGTTCAGTGTCTGTAATATTCATTCACTGTGCACAATAAGAAAAAGCATTTTGGACGATTCTAATAGTTCATTTTAAAGCCAATATCTGCAGACAACGCTGACATGTGGATATTATTTTGCATCCCTCGTTCAAGCACTGACATATTCATACAGACAGGAAGTATTACACTTATCACATGACACCTGGATTAATGTCTCATGTTGGTAAAATGAACGTTGAATTCACAGGTAACAGCTCCAGTGGACATTCCAGCATGATAATGTGTCGCTGTGACTAAAATTTAAAGGAAAATAGTGTTGGTAAGGAAACCAGTCAATATGCAGGATCAGCGACTTTCAAGCCACTTTGGAGGATTTCAAGGGGGTTGAAGCTGCTCGCCTGGTGATGCAGCCTGAAGGCAACACAACGAAAGCTGACTGCCACGTCCTGTCATGTTGCACCTGAACACACCGCAAAGAGTACAACTGATGGCGAACCAGCACGTCCGTTCTGCGCCTGCATGAGAGGAAATAACTCTCTCGGTCGTCTGTATCCGTCATTGAAAAAGGGAAACAGGAAGAGCGTCTTGATGCTAGTTAGCCAGTTAGCACGTTAGCAACACAATCAGAGCATATTTACCGTGCTCCAGTGAACAATAACACAAACCATCAGGAAACGTTTCTGCTAAAGAGAAAAATAATCTGACCTCATGGATCACAGGAGTCACACACTGTTTCATGGATGAAAATATCAAAACTTTTACACGACTTCTCAAGGACTCATAATATTGTTTTTTCTTTGCCCTATATGCCCGACGTTTCTCAAACATATCAGATTCAAACTTCATAATGATGTGACAAGAGACACAGAACGCTGGGAGAAAACAAAGGAACGTACGTGATGGTAAACAAAATGTTGTCACCCACTAGAGCTACTGTACATAACGTCGTCAGCTACACAAAACAAATTTGCTCTGAAGTTACAGGAAAGTTATTCATGGGTGATTACTGGAAAAATGTCTTTACACATAACAAAATTCCAGGACTTTTCCAGGTTTCCCATGACCGTGGGAACCCTGGCAACAAGTTTGTTTTGGTCTCACTCCCTCTGGATTCAGCTGTTCTAAGACGATATCTAGTCTCATATCACCATGTCAATAAAATATCTATTATTGCCCTGATCTATTTGTGACCAAATTGAACCCAGTTTCATATCTTGGCGTCTTTTGGGCAACAAATCAACAAATCGTTGTTTACTGGGGAGAAACAGCTGCAACAGATAACCAAAAAAATATGCTCGACATTATCTGTAAGTATCAGGTGGTTGGAAACCTCTGCTTAACAGCCTGAAAGATAACATTACAAATGTTAAAGGGGAGTTTGCTTCAGTCGTTTCTAACATTGTTAATGTATTATTTCCCTGCACTCCATCCTGTAAATGATAATTACTGACGGATTTATTGTGTGTTTTGTTAGTTTATTATCTCCATATTATTTTCGTCTACGTTTGCACTTGAAGATATTCACAACGTTGTCAGCCGTGTCATGCTGTTGCTCTGTTTCATGTGTTGTGAATATAAAACTATATGTTAAACACCTAGTTGTGAATGTAAATGTGGAGCAGACAAATACTAATAACAGGGTTTAATGCAGGAAGTGACAAAGCATTTGGACTACGCACAAAGTGATCAAACACAGTGAGTGTGGGAGGAAGAAAAGGAATCAGAGCCTCGTTATAACTGTTTGTGACACAATAATCACCCTGTTTTATTTCAGCTGGGACTTTAATGCTGAGCTCTGTGGAGGCGGACGCCTAACGCGTGTGTAACGGGCAGCACACACTCCATAATCCCAACAACATCCTGTACCTGCTCCCGCCCACCTCGGGGAACAGACCCATTGGGTTGTGTGTGTGTTGATGATGGTCTCACCGTGCAGCACGGACTGATGCAGGCTCCAGTAGATGCTCAGGCAGTTCTTCTCCTTCTTCATGCCTCGTTTACATTGGCAGCCGTGCAGAGGAGTGGACAGCAGTGCCGTCATGGCGTTTTCACACTGGTTTCGCGCCCCGGGCCCCAGCTTCACGCTGCCGTCCCCCGCCACACACTGCCTGAGGGTGCGCAGGCGCGGGCTGCAGGTGTCGTCGCTGGAGCAGGTGTCTCCGGCACGCAGGCAGTCCCTCCCGCCTGCAGAGAGAGCCATACGTGGGACTCCTGTGGGACAGACAGAGGACAGGTCAGTGTGGCGTTGTGGAGACACATGATGCAGTGGGTCTGTGGGTTGGTTTTCTGTTCGCATGTTCAGTGAAGCTTCAGAGGCTGATTGTACGTATAAATTATACCATAAAACAAACAAAAAAATCTATCAGGCTGTTAAAGAGCAACTCAAACTCTCTGAGACAAAGGAAACTAAAAACACTAAAATATGACTTCTCTTTTCATCTATTTAACCATCATGATGAAAAAGAAAATAAGGGTAGACACACACTTCATGTTGAAGTCAAAGAAATACAAACACAGATGCCTTAGAGACCAGTTGTGAGTGGACGTCACAGTTACGTCACAGCAGTTGTGCACACATCGTAGTGGCAGAAAAACAGCAGATATCGGAGAGAAACTGTTGAGATACCCGAAACAAAAATGTTCTGTTGTGCCATTGGATGTCAGAACAGGAATACAAAAAAAGATCACCTCTACTTTTACAGAGAACCATCACAGAGGACGCCACTTGAATCCGAACGAAGACCTCTCTGGTGGCTCAAATTTGATGTCGGTAAGTATTAATAATCAAGGACAATGAGATAAATCCATGTTTGACAAATGTTTTTACAATTCTTATGATGATGAAATATTTTTCACCAGGTAATTTATTCAGTTCATGTCAGTCTAACACACACTCCTCTCACACTCGGAGACTACAACACGTAGATGATAAACCCTTTATTATAAAAATGATTCCTTGCAATCAGTTGAAAAATATAAAAGTTATGGTGCTATTTATCCAGAAAACCTGCAGCTCTCCTGTTAACTGTCATTTGTTTACAGGTGAGTTTGACCCTCTTAAATATGGCGGCGCCGTTGACACATCTCTGCAATAACTGACACAGGCAATGTGATGTACAAATGTCTGTGATCTTAATGACAAACTGACTCACATCTTTAGACTACAAGAAAAATAAAATAATACCAGGATTAAACTGGAGAGGACTGAAACAGGGAGAGTGGAGAGGAGCTGTAAATAAAGCCATCAGCCTGACTGTGAATTAAACATTATTTTATTTACTGTTATTAGGCCGACTTAATGTTGCATATCTGGTGCCAATAAACATTTAAAACGAATTATTCTCCTCCAAAACACAGTGAGCCGTCGCTTTAACTGATATGGAAAATTTGGCAAAGATTAAAATGCATTAAAAATAACATCAGGATTTTTTTTTAACATTTCAAAAACTGTACAAATGACGATGAGTCTTATCCATCACGTGTCTTTAACCTGTCGTCAAATACAGACAGTGTCTCACAGCGACACACAGGAACCCTTCAGCGTCTCTACGTGACTCAAACACACTGGAACATGAGGTCAAAGCTGTGAAACAGTCACAGTTAGGTTTAAGCAACAAAACGACCTGAACAGGTTTTAGACAAAAGATCATGTTTGGGTTAAAATAATAACGTTTGTGACGTAATGAGACATAAATACACCTCATGTGTACTGTCAGTGTGTGAACACCGTATAGCCTGGTAAAACCATCCTGATGACGCCAGCTCAATGTTCTGTTCTCTGTGTCAGCCTGGACTCACTGCTGTCCCACCTCATAGCATGAAATCAAAATCCAGCTGGGGCCAATCAGGGATCAGCACCATAGTTGACTGTGTAAGCAGCCAGTAAGGCACTACGTTGCAGGCAGCAGCTTGCAGAACAGTGATGGCGGCTCTTGAAGCAACCAGCGCTAACTCTAAGGTTAGCAGAGTAAACTCAGCAATAAGTGAAGTAACTATGCACCGATCTGATATCTGGATCAAATATCGGCCGATATCATCAAAACAGATGGATCAGGTATCGGAAAATGCAACCTGTACCTGAGGAGATCCTTTGCCTTTAAACCTATTGCGACACGAGCTACGTCACACGTCATGGAGCGAAGGAGAGAATCTGCTGTGTGGAGGTATTTCACACTATTTCAACTGCTGCTGCACAATTGTTTATTTTTGTTATAGATAAATAGTTCATCATTGAATTAATCTGTTACATCTTGTTTCATTTGATCTTAGGAAAGAACTGTGTGGTCATCAATGCCTGATGCCTCTAGTCTTTTCTCTCCTACATGTAAAGGTATATAGCTTTTAGCTCAACCATGGTATCAGATCAGCATCAGGTATCAGCTGATACTCAAAGCCACAGCATCGGGATCGAAACTGAAAAAGCTGGATCAGTGCATCTCTAGAAGTTACTGCAGAAATAGAGTCAATAACAATTAAACAGGAACAACAGTTTGACCTCACTGAGCGTCTTGGAGAACATTTTCACCGTTCTTCTGACTGGATTTGACAAAAGTTTGATTTAGCAACTGGTGATGATGATGATGATGATGTTCCCAGTGTTCTGTTACACTGACTTCCTGATGAGCTTTAACTGTGAGGTTACAGGTAAATACAGTTATATTACAGGAGCAAACTGCTAAATCACAGCAAACAGCTGTAAATATGAGACAGTAACTTACTGTGAAAGTGATGCAACTAACAGCCAGAAATTTACTGTCAATGTACAGTCAGATATTTTACAGTGCAAGGTTTGACTTTACATTCATACAGGAAGTGAACACCTGAGTCAGGTTGGTGGTTGTTGGACACATCCGCAACCCCTCCTGCCAATCCTTCGGACTTTCACATCCTAAACTTATGCTGTTGTCCAGCCGTGTTTCCCCCTGACACCACCATGCTGCGTATCATGCCGCTTTGAAAAGACAGCTTTTTTCATTGGTGTTGCTGCTAATCGATGAGTTTGGAGTGAGACCAGTTAAACACTGCATGTGTACGAGCCCTGAGCCCGTACTCATGCCAGAACATTGAAGTTCTACGGTTAAGAAAATGTGTTGCAAAGTAAAGAGCTGTCTGACAGCAAGGTGAAGTGGTGAAAATACTCTCAAACAACGTCCACTTAGACTGATACTGATTCTTTATGGTGGCTTAAATACATGTTGCTGCTGCCCCCGTCCACAGCAGGACACCGCTGAGGTTTTGTTGCCACACTTCCACCTGCTTTTCCAAACTGGGGGCCGACTGACGTCTACTGTACGTGAGACTCACTGCAGAGGACCCCACTGAAAATGAGATGCTGTAACTCAAGGGTCTTTCCATTCAATAGAATTAATTCTACGGATAAGTTTATGATACGACCGCACTTCTAAATGTCCAAACTCCCTGTAAACAAACAAGCTGAATTAATGTGGGTGTTTATGATCCAGTGAGTCGCTGCTGCTGAAATGATGTAAATTGTATTGAGTTTAATATTCAGATTTTTACATCCCCTGTCAGGAGCAATCAAACCTGGTCAACGATCCATCTCATTGTTCCAGTGTTTTAGAATCACATTCATAAACCCGAGGGGGGGGGGGCTGCCATATTATTCATGAATTCATACAGTTGTCACACAGAATCCATCCGACACCACTGACCGGATTTTGATGAAACTTTGGGGGGATGAAGCGCCTCACCGATCCATCCTGACGTGCTCCAAGTGACACCGAGGTGTTTGAGCCACCGTCAAAATAAAGTGTCAGATTTGTTTCTGATTGGCCCGGAGAGGAGCCGCCGCGTTTGTGGGGGAACAACTTGTTTACTGTTGTCTTGTTTCATGTGGCACTAATAACATGCAAGCTTTATTCCCCCGAGGACACAACATAAATACTTGTTTATTCCCAGCTGTCACACAGCTCTTAGAGACACTCTTAAAAAAGACGCAGTGTTCTTTGATCCGTCTCTTTTCTCTGCTGCGGAACAACACACACACATTTACACAGTGTACGTACTGAAACCTAAACGACTGCGACAGATACACAATCAGCAGAGAGGACAGTGAACTGCTTAAAGTGGTCACTTGACTCGTAAAAAGTGGGTCACAGCTGATAGTTTGAAAACTCTGGTTTGTCCCTCTTTTATTTTATATATAAGCAAAGTGTCACTTAATAAATACGACTGCATTCCCTGTTTCTTTTGTTGTCTTTATTTGCATGTTTGTTGAAACATGATGCAACGTTACTGTGGCTGCGTCCGAAGAACGAGTGAGAGCAATTACACTCGTCTTAGTTCGGTGAAAGACACAAACTTGGATTGGTGTACAGTTGCCCTAGAATTGCAATAGAATTGGTCTGCCAGCCAACACTGGTTTTTCTCATTTCATATCTTCAAATGCTTCGTATCCCTAAAATCTGTACAACCTGAGCTGCAAGGTTATGTGAGTCAATGAACCTTTATAAATGATCAATGTATTGAAATAGTGTCATTGCAAAAAATGCAAAAATCTGACGTTTTTTCATCAGATTTTACAAAATAAAAACACAAATCATTTTGATCCAACAGATTTGTAAATGTAGAAACATACAGAGAATATTGCTAAACACTCCACAAATCATTTGAGCTGTGTCCATTATTTAGTTTTTGAGATATGCTCATGTTTATGAGCAGAGTGAAAAGACGTGATTCATCAGTCATTCTTCTGGTGCCACCACGTATTTTCACGGGGATTTGCATCGCGAGTAACGTAGTGCAGTGACGTCACTACGAGCGTACAACATGATGACACAGAAGACAGAAGCCTTCAGCTTTTTGCTGCAAAATGAATGAATGTTGTAGCTATTATGGTTTTACCAATATATATATACAGGATAACACAAACGACAATCTCTGCTAGGTAAGGTAATGTAAAGTCATGACGTGATGACACGGAAGACAGAAGCCTGAGGTTTCTGCTGCAAAAAGAAAAATCTAAAAGCTATTATGGTTTTTAATTTTAGATCGATATATATATACAGGATTATGCAAACAACACTCTCATGCAGCCTTTGCAGGGAAATTCTTGAATAAATTCCTCCATAATTACAGTGAAATACCTCGTTTGCACCACATGTAAGGTAAGTTAACGTAAGGTCATGACATGATGACGGGGAAGACAGAAGCCTTTTAGCTTTCTGCTGCAGAAAGACTCAATGTTCCCT